TGCACTACCACGTTCCATTTCCTTCTGGGTATTTTTTTGAACCTCAAATTCAATGTATCGCCAGAATAAAATACTTTATATATTTAATAACACTCATACTATGGTATTTTAATCATTTTCATATTCCCCTATGATTAACAATGATCTTGAGATTGTACAAAACTAAACATATAATTTAAATTTGATATTGGCTTTGCTTAATTTCAGCCAAATAAAATAAAATTATACTTCTGAGCGAGGAAAAAGACAATTTTGACTATAAGAACATGGATAGTCGTATAAAACTATGTTTTTAAAATTTCCTTTATGGGTTTTAGTCTAAGCCAAGGTACAGTTATTTGATTTCTAGGCAATTGGTTTTTAATGATCTTTAAGCACCTGTGTAGATTTCTGATAACTTCAGCAAGTCTTTTTCAAAATGATGCTTCAAGAGACTTGAAGCAGGCAAGCAAACTTTGTGGCAAACTCAGAGCAGCACAACTGAGGGAATCAAGGATATGTAACTAAATGATATTATAAGTTTAAATAAAATTTCAACATATATGTAGAAGTGCTAAGAAGGCATTTTTCCTTTTTTTTTTAAACCAAATGGGAAATAAGAATCCTAAGTTTCATTAGACAGATTTTTCATTAACTAGTCACATCATAGCTATCTGTAGTAAAGAGAATCCTCAACAGTTGTCAAGGAGAGCTGCTGCCCATTTATCATTGCCATAGGTGTGACCCATTATTGTTGAAATTCAAGGCACCTTGTGGTTTTTATCTCTAAAAGCTTGCTACTCAAAAACTGGTCTCTATTGGGCCTTTAATATACATATGACATATGGATCTTATTAAAATGAGATTCTGCTTCACCTTGGGTAAGGCCTGAAGATTCTGTATTTCTAACAAGTTCCCACACGATGCTGATCCTACTGACCCCACCAACACCACATTTTAAGAAGCAAATATATGCCAATCCTTACAAAATCCAGGAAAACCTCTCTAACTTTTACATTATTTTCAAAATCCTGTCTTTATGAACACAGTCGTGGAGTCATGGAATTTTAGGCTGAGAGGTATCTGAAAATTTCACAATAACTGCTTCATTTTATATATGTGAGAAAATTAAGGTCTTTGGGGAGGGGGCTCTGACCACTTTTCCTTATCCCTTTACTAGCAGGCTCTTCAGGGAGGAAGAATTATTAATCTGATTATTCAGAGCTCAGGACGTTAACTGGACCACTTGTTCCTTGTGCGCTAATGTGCCTTAAAGGCCAGCATCCTTACAGCGCCCTCACTCTTCTTCCTGCCACGAACTCTCACTCTCCCACTTCCTCCATTTGTGCAGTCAAGTGGGCAAGTTAGACGAGTCTGTTCCCCAGACCCGCACACTCTCTCCCTCTGCTCCCAGGGCAGTCCTCTGCTTTGCATGTGAGACAGAAGAGAAAAAGTGAAAACTCTTTTGCAGCTCCAGTCTAGGAATCAGCCCTATATTCCAGTTCGTCCCAGGGACAGGAGAGCACTGTGAATGTCACGCTGCAGTCTGGTTTAGACAGATAATTTTCCTTGACTTATGAGACTACATTTAATAAGAACTGATTATAAACCCTCTGAGAGCATATATTCTCTGTGCCAGCAAAGTGTCTAGAACATAGTAGATCCCTATAAAAATATTTACCAAGGGAATAATTTTATGAAATTTGTATTGTGTTATATGTAATGTACTTGATACATAAAAACACTAATTTTGCACTGTTGATCAAAATGAGTTTTTGAAACTACTCTGAAAAATAACACTGCTTTCACCTAAAATTCTTACCAATTATTTTTGCTTCTAGTCACTAAACTTTGCTTCAGGTAAATTATTTTGTGCTTAAGTAAAGCAATATGAAAATAGAATATAAGACCTCACAAACATTTCTATCCACCCGCTGAATTTGTTTTCCCATGAAGATAGCCTTGAGATCCAGCAGAGTGGGCTCTGTCCCCAGAGAACCCTGGATGTGTTTTCCACCACACACCTCCCCTACAGCATGGCTCAAAAGGCAGATCTTAAGGTATAGCTCATTCTTCTGATTGAAATACTCCACACCATAGCGTGCTTCTATGGTACCTCCCACATATGTGACAATTCCTCTTTGGGCCTTTTCATTCCCTCAGATAGTATCATCTCAAACTGCTTACAGAAAACTGTGAACCTTCAGATTGTCTTTATATCATGGCCCTGTGTGGAGGGCTCTCTTTTTGTCTTTACTGTGCAGGTGAAAACTTTCCCCAGGTTCACAGCAGTCACCCTGATCTTTATGTCCTGGATGGAAAGGGAATTTTGCTTAACACGGTTGGAATTGCCTTTGATCTGATACGACATCAGATAAAACTGATCCTTCTGCTATAGTCCATGATTCCAAATGCATCCGTAAGTGCTCAGTCCAACGGTTAATTTTCAGTCCTTGCTTGGTGTATCTACAGTATGTGACATGCTTCTTTACTCATTTACCCTGAAAACACGTGCCTTGCTAACCTCCCTCAACACCTCATTCTCTTGGTTTTATTCTTATCTCACTAGTCGTTACTTCTCAATTTCTTCTGCTCATTTTTTCTCATCTCCCATGCAGCTTCTGTGCATTGGAAGCCCCCGTAGATCAGTCCCTGGACCTATCTGGTTTTGATCCATTCTCATTTCAAGGCTGAACCCATCTACTCTCTTAGTTTTAATTGCAGTTATGGGCTCACCACTTCCAAATCTATGTCTCTAGTCCACATTTCTCTTTCCTGAATTCCAATTTCACACATCTAAGCACCTCCTTAACATCTCAAAACATCTTAAACTTAAATATGTTCAAACCCTTTTGAACTTCGCCAGTTTGGCTTCTCCTACAATCTCTCCCCGTGTAGGCAAATAGTTTACTCAGGATCCAAACCTTAAAGTCAGCTTTGGCACCTTTCTTTCTCTTATACACCACATGCAGTTGGACAGTACGTGATGCCCGCTCTACCTTTGAAGTAGATCAACATCCAAACACTTTTTATTCCTTTTACCACTACCATCAAGCCACCAGCGCCTCTAGCTTCGATTTTGTAAATAGTCTTCTAATAGCAATGACCCTGCTTTTGCTCTTGTCTCCTTGTCACTTCTCTACTCACAACCTCCAACGGCACTTCTGTGTCAACTCAAAAATCCAAAAAAAGAAAAAGAAAAAGCCACAAACAAACAAAACAACAAAAAATGCACCTTACTAAAAAAAAAAAAAAATGCACCTTACAATGGTCTACAAGGCCTTATACAATTGCCTCTGACTGCTCAAGCCACGTTTCTATTATACTTTCCTCCTTTCTCACTTTCCTGCAGGCATGCTGGCTTCCTCCTTTTCCTTGAACTGGTAAGTACACTGGCACCTCAGCTAGAATACTCCACCTCCCCGTAAGGCCTGCTCTCCACCTTCCTTTTGTATTTGCTCCTAAGTCACCTTCTTAATGAGGTTTTCTGTTTAATTCCTATTTAAAATTGCATTGCCCCCTTCTAGAGCACTCCCCAACCTACTTTCCTGCCTTATTTTTCTCCATGGCACTAATCACCATCATACTTGCTACATATTTATTTGTTTGTCTGTCTCCTCCCACTAGAATGTAAACTCCATGACAGTAGGGCTGTCTGTTTTCTTTACTGCTGTGTCTACCCTGTATTAAACACTCAATAAATATTTTTAATGAATGAATAAATGAATAAAATCATACATAGTATTAAATAAAATGCATCATAATAAAAATGTGGTGTTTTTTTTTTCAATTTAAAAGGATCCTATCTCAACCTGCCCCTTCCACTTACCAAAGCTTAAGCTCAGCACCACAGTCAACAAACAGGTTCTTACCTGTCTCTGTGTCATTTTCCAAAATTCAGAGTTTAGGCAAATGGCTTGAGTCTGCTGACGAGTGGTCATTTCTCCATCTTAAATTTCATACACTTTCAATTTCTGAATAATGATTGATGCCCCTAACAATAAGTACATTATCTGTGTTTCTACATTATGTTTTCAAATGTCTTAGACTAAGAGAATAAAGCACAATTGTGGGGTTTCTTACCACTGTGTTTGGCCCAAGGGTTTACTGTTTCATCTTGATTTTCTCATTAAGGTAAAATAAAAATATAAAACATATATATATATACACACATACATTTATACAATATTTATATAAAGTAAAAATATTTCCATCTAAAAGTCTCATCAAATGCATCAAATGCCTTATTAGGTCTGTGCCAGTCCTAGATAGGAACCTAAATTGTATCAACTACCAGAAGTACTGAGGGATAGGTATATGTTGCTGCTGACCTGACAGTTTTGAAAAGGATTGCATCTTCTTTACTAGAAGATGTTGTGGATCACTGAAAATAGACAAGGGCTGATTTGACCTTCAGTTAAATATTCATACATAAATTTATGTAAAAAGTGGCTATAGGCTTACCCCAATCTCATGACTTAAGGGTACAATTAACAGGCATGTACAATTAAAAGAATGAAAACAAAACAAAAAGCAGACAAAAAAAAAGAAAGCAGTGGTAATGAGCTGAGTGCACCCTATGATACTAACAGTACTCTGACCCACTTCTTATTGGGTCATAGATCTAATATTTACATTTCCATTATTTACTTAAGGGTTTATGTAATTCACCGGTTAATAACTTAGAAACATGTCTTCAAAATTGTTCTCTCTGACTGTAGATCATGAAAGGAAAAAATGGCATTTGAAGGGCCAATTGATAGATCAAATTAAAATATTTATTAAAGTTATATAAATTCCATAGCAAATAATTAGAATAAGAAATTTTTTCCTTGTGATGAAGGGAAAACATACTTTCCTAACTCTCTTCTAAGGTCATTACTGAAACATGGTATCAGTATGTTTAATTACAGTATCATGAATACTTAAATTTCTCTCATGCTTGAGAAAGCCATAAGATTACAGCTATCACGCTGATCTTGCTACACGACCTTTCAACTGGAAAACTCAAACCATCTTACCTTAGAATGATCTGTTACTTTCCACTCTATCTGAAAAAAAGAAAAATCAGAGAAATACCTTAGATCCAAGAATTTGTGGTTTACACAAAAACTGTCACAAGGATATGTGAAGCCTGTGGGTAATATATTCATGATCCAGTAGTCAAAGCTATGGTCTGGTATGGACTCAATGTACTCTTCCTGTTTTGCATTTTTCTAGATTACAGTTCTTTAAGTTTTTTAAAAATGTAGGTTCAATCTATAAGGAGAAAATGTAGACAAACGTGTAGTAAGTAACAGGTAAAGTAATTCCAGTGAAATTCAATTTCCTTCAGTTCAGAAGATTGCATAAACTCAGTTCTGCAGGATTGTGTAGAATAAAACTTTGTAGGTTTGTGTACCTACATTCTAATTCACAACTCCTTTGCCTAACAGAAATGCATATTGCCAAATCATGTGCCCTTTAAACATGAGAAAATGGAACTAAAAGTTTACATTGAGCATATTTGTATACACCATCTTATTATTTGTCTGTACCGCCATACTTTTAAGACCTTATTATACACTGTCTTTTGAATTTATTTCATCGTATGCTCCACCATAGCAACTAACTTAAAGCATGTGGTGGGTACAATGAAGAGGAACCTAAATGTCCCTTGTGAGCACTTCCTCCTACCTGTCATATCATCTAGCACACTCCTTAGCTTGCTTCTTTTCTTGCTATACAGTCCTTCTGTGGGTAAGGGTGACAATAAGGTAACTTAACACTGGAAAGTAACGGCTAGGGCACCAACCAATCAGAACAGGTAGAGCCACTGCAGTGTAGCAGGGTCCTGGAGACCTTATGCTGGATAGATGTGAACTTTCTGATTGCCATTATGCAGTGTGGTCCCCAGGGTCTCTACAAAGAAGTCAGGATAGCTAGGGCAGAGAGCATAGTGGCAAGCTTGAGACAGCTGTATTTACTCCCAATGCAGAAAGTAATTCAATACTTTAATAATCATCATGATAGATCAGTGTGGTCTGTCAGCTGACCAGTATCTTTTCCATTTCTATGATTTCAACTAACACATTCTTCAGGTGACCAGCAAATCCATCAGTCTAAGTCTTTAACTCATTTCCTATTGCAGACCTGTATTTTCAATGACCTAATTAGAATAAAAATGATACATGGTCGGGCTTCCCTGGTGGCACAGTGGTTGAGAGTCCGCCTGCCGATGCAGGGGACACGGGTTCGTGCCCCAGTCCGGGAAGATCCCACATGCCGTGGAGTGGCTGGGCCTGTGAGCCATGGCCGCTGAGCCTGCGCATCCGGAGCCTGTGCTCCGCAACAGGAGAGGCCACAGCAGTGAGAGGCCCACGTATTGCAAAAAAATATATAAATAAATAAAAATGATACATTGTCAATCCTTCACACTCAATAAATCTGAAGTTCAGTGGACTCTTTTTCTCTATAAACAATCTTTCAATTGTCTTCTCTTGGTCTGTAAGGTCCTTGCCACCCATTCTGGCTCCTAGCCTAGAAATTTGAGACCATGTCTGACTTCACACTCTCCAACATCCTGATTGCCAACCTCTTATCAATTCTGCTTCAGAAATAGCTCTGTCATTCATCCTCTTCATTTCTACCACCACTACTGTTCAGGCCCCCATACCTCTTGCTTCCATCATTGAAAGAGCCCCCTAAAGACTCCCTTCCTACTGCCAGACTCCCACTTCTTATTCATTGTTAAATGCAGATACAACTAGGATTCCTTCCTTGCCCAAGAAATTGGAAGATTCTGCATTGATCCAAAACTTGCTTCAAATTTCTTCACTTCAATTTTTTTTTTTTTTTTTTTTTGCGGTACGCGGGCCTCTCACTGTTGTGGCCTCTCCCATTGCGGAGCACAGGCTCCAGACGCGCAGGCTCAGTGGCCATGGCTCACGGGCCTAGCCGCTCTGCAGCATGTGGGGTCTTCCCGGATCGGGGCACGGAACCCGCATCCCCTGCATTGGCAGGCGGACTCTCAACCACTGCACCACCAGGGAAGCCCTCTTCACTTCAAATTTATCAATTGACCTTTTCAGCCTCATTTTGTACCCATATCCACACACCCATACATCCTTATCATCCTTTCCATCAATTTCTACTCCCTGTACTAAATTACTATTTTTCCACCTTTATACCTTTGCTCTTGCAATTTCTTCTTCCTGGAAAGCCCCCTTCTCTCCCTTCCCTGTCAAAATCCTAGCTTATTCCTTAAGGCTCATCTCCCCCAAGAATTCTTTCCCATTCCTTCCAGACAAAAACCAATCACCTTCTAGTAAGTATCCCTACTGAGGTCTTTTTAGTCTGTATTTGGTAGTCATCATATTACACATTAATTTTCTATTATTATGGTTCATAGGCTAAAAGCTTCCTGATATTTGAACTATATCTAATGTCCAATAATGTCTAACACAGTACCTTAAATCAAGTGTGGGCTTAAATATGTGTGGAGTTATTTGCAGCCCCTTCATCAAGACATGATGATTCACTGTTTAGTATTTCCAAGTTGGGGCCCTACATAGCCTCTCATCTGAGTCCTATTTCTACAGTGAGTCAGTACATCAGCTACTAGTTAGACACAAATTTCCCAATCAGCTGAGAAGGAATACAAGTCAAGCACTTCCAAATAACTCAGAGCAACACATATATTACATAAAAGTGCTTTGTTCTATGGATAAAATATTTATCCCAAAGAAAATCTGCAGTCTATGTGATTATATAAAACACTTAGTATAAAACCAAGAAGTATTACTTCTGCCATTCTATCTTGTCTGTAACTATCCCATTTATAATTCTTTTGGCTTACATTCACCTCATATGTGAAATGAAATTCTGCATAGTTGAGATCTGGCTTCATAATATGGAAGGTTTATCAATGAAATTGAGTTGTTTCTATAAAGTATGCGAGCAATTCAAGAAGCACGTTGAATTCAATTCAGTACATATTACTGAGCAGATACACTAGTACTGGGGGATAAAAAAAGATGAAGGGTGCGTCATGCCTCCCATAAAGGGTCAAATGATTTCTTGGACAAGACCAACTGAAGGCTAGGACACATGAGAAACCCATTTCTGAAAAATTCTCCAAGATCCTTCATTTGAATGGAGGTAGATATGGAAAGCCTTACAGGAAGTAAATTGAGTTTTTCCTATTTGTTGGGGAAATTAGTATAATATTGAAAACTTTCCCAAGTGTTTACTATGTGCCAGATTTTTTTCTTGGTGCTGAGGGCAAAGCTTAACAGAGTCACTGACCATAGGGACTTTATGTCTAATCACTTTCAAATTTTATTTCATAAAAAATTAACAATTATGTATTTGCTTCAGTAAATAGTATAGTAAAAATAACTCACAGAGGGCCACCTGTAAACTCAAGGTCTGATCTTAGAGTCTAACAGAGACACATCAATGTCCAGTGTGTAAGTCCTATGATGTATCCTGTTCAAAAAAAACCAGAATCCAAAATTCTATATATTTTACACAAAGGTAATTTTACATAATGCCTCCTCACTTCTTATTTATTTAATATAAGTAGGACTTACAGCTGAGTGCCCCAAATTATTTTTACTATCAACATGCAATATTCACATTAAAATTTTCCCCACTACACATATATTATTTTAAACATTTTTGGCTACTGCTATCAACAGTTACTGAAAATAACAAACTGTCATAAAACCATATATCATTATCACATTTGGCTTATTTAAGGATCAATGGTCCTTGGTTAACAATTTCCTGCAGAATTTCCAATCCAGATGACTCATGCATATTTGAAGCAAATGGTAAATATCTCACTATAAAATAAAGAGTTATATAAAATTACATTTTTTAATTAAGTTCCTTGCTGTATGTTTTATCCAGATGTGTACACAGTGTAACTTGTATAGAATGCTAAGTAAAAAGTAACAGTTAATTTGGGGAGTTATTGCTGTAAAAGTATGTTACCTTTTATATATATCACAGCATTACTTATTATCAGCTTCACACATAGCACTTTGCCTTTGATTTACGCAAACAACTGTAAATGTTTTATATATTTGTGAGGAAGTGAATGATATTAGACCATCAATCCATGGGGACTGCAAATCAGGGGGAAAAAAAAAAAGGCTATTACATTTCAGAAGCTGTTAAATCAGTTGTGCCCCCTGGCTGATTTTGTCAGCTATATTTGCTGTGGGTAAACCGTTGATGCCCGGAATTCTGGCGCGGCCCTGAGAGTGCTGAAGAGTAAATAGCAGCAGAGTTGTAAGCTACACCACACATCTCACACTTAGCGCGTAAGCCCAGCTTACACTTTCCTCTGAATAAGTCCAGCAGCTTTAAAAAAGAGCAAGAGAGAGAAATAAAGCAAAAGGGAGAGGAAAAAGGAGGAAAACCTGGGCCCAGGCCTTCTGTCACTGCCTCTAGCTTTAGCCCCTCAGCAGCCTGCCAACAGGACACTGTTCCTGCCAGTTGTAAATTTTAATTGGCCATCTGGGGAAAGCACAAACCACTGACTAGAGATTAATCAGCAAATTAACCCAGGCATAATACACATTTCCCAATGGACCGGGAGCAGCTCTAGGCTGGGGCAGAGCAGCCTGGGATGCAGGAGAACCTGTGTAGAATGCTGTTATTGCTTACTGCCATGCAGGAGAACATCATCTCCGAGTCCTGAAATCCCTTCTGTGTGACCTTGTTAGTGCCCCTGATTTGTATGGCAGTTGCAAAGAGTTTTTTTTTTTTTTTTTTTTGTAAAGTGCTAAACACAGATGGCACAGGTACTGTGATTGCTGGGAAAAGTGTTGATGAATCAGTGAAAGTGACAACTTTTCTCTGGTGGGCTATTCACTTGGTTTGCTAAAGTTCCTACAGGAAGAAACAATAGTGTACCTGGATTTTTTTACCAGCTCGGTGAATCACCAAGAGAATCACATCTATTTAGCCAGTTGCTTGCTTGACACAAAGTGCCTTTTCACAGCCTCTATATTATAAAAGCAAACTTGTAAATAATAAAACCTTCCTAAGGTCTAGGTTA